GCACTTCTATTTCTGCGAAGTTGTAGGCAGTTTTTGTCATGAATTCCTTTGTTGTCCAGGTTGGGGCTCCTGTTGTGATCGCATGTGGTTGAAAGGTCATCGCACGAACTCGTGGCCATAACTCTCTTTAGGCTGAGCCTTGGTGAAGTTGAAGCAGATATCTTCAAACTAATGTAGACCCCAACCAAGAGATGAGTTTAAAAGGAAATTTATTCCACATTCACAATCAATCGAGTAAATTGAATGCATCCAATTACGTTGAAGATGAAGGTAAAAATGATGTAAATAATGTAATTTACGCAATCGATGAAAAGATGAAATGATGGTTCGACTAAAAGGAAAATGTACGGCTATAAATTATAATAGATCTAAGAAAATTGACTAACTAAATGAAAACAAAAAAAGACTGATGATTTACAGATATTTCCTCCTATCAATGTGAACGGGTCGAGTAAAATAAATGATGATTTGAAAACAAGATCTTGCCGTGACAAAAGCCAATATATAATACACTGAAAAACGAGAACTTAAAGGCGTAATCAAAAGAGTCACATGAAGATTAAGGTTAAAATTTAAATCCAGAGTAACGCACCTATGTGACCAGCCATGCACGTTTGAATCTTTCACTAACTGTATTATATTAATATATTCCTTAGAGACACGTTTTTGTAAGAGTATTTATATTAGTATCACCCATTAAAATGCATTTTTTCTTAGAGGGAAAAACAACGTTTCAAGTTTGTCTAAAAATTCTGGGTTTGAAAAATTTGGGGTTTATAAATGACACCCACAATCATATCATTAGTTTACACAATCATATCATCAGTTTAGTTACTAATATTAGTTTTCAGTTACTTATAATCAGACATCATGATTGATAGTAAATAAATTTGGCTGATCAAGTTAGGTCATTTTTCTCTTCATTGGCTTTGTTTTGCCTCGGAAGAATAAAGAATGGAATGTAAAATAAAATAAATGGAATGTACTGATGTTCTTAAATATAAATGTTTGTATATCAGTTTAATGGATCTATGAAGCTCAGTATATAATGGTATAGAAGAGTATACTGGAAAGGTAATGAAGCAGAATCTTACCTGTGTAATGATCTTCAACATCATTTTCATCGGACATTGTTGAAACTTTTTCAGTGTTTGATGTGGCAAACTTTGAGAAAAGAAGTCATTAACAGAAGGAGTGTATTAGAAGGAATAAATAATATTTAAAGTGGGCATAAAAATTTCTGAAAGGTGTATGAATATTGCTCTGGTTTTGTAAAACCAGAGCAATAGACTATCTATGGTAATCACTTTTCTTGTCTGATTGTAGTTGTGATTGAATTTAATTGTAAACTACATTAATTGAAACTTAACGTATTTCTTCACTAATAAGCCGATCTGAGCTATAAGGCCAGACCCTAAAAGTTAGAGACTTCCTAACAAACTTGTGTTGTCCAAAAAGAAAAGCAAAACCATCGGCTATAAGCTGAGAGCAAAACTCTTGATTGTAAGTGGCCATTTGAGTGAGCAAACCTCACAAAAACCATTGGGAAATGGCTCACTGAACACAAAAGTTAATGAATTAGAATAAACACAAAAGGAAAAAAGTGAATCAGTGAAGATGTAAATACTACCATGCGACAGCAGAAACAACAATACTCTCAGTTACTGTAACCTGACAAACGTTTCAATCAAGTATCTCTTTTGTTGCTGTTATTTTTCTCATCATGCCAAAAGCATGCCACTCTTCGTATGCGATGGATTTCAAGATAAAAGTTAAACTGAAGCAAAACTTAGAAATCGCTCAAGATTTATGGACTTTGGGAGTCCATGGTGTGATGCTGGAGAAGAGACCAGGCAACTGTTCTTCCTGGTGAGCTTAAGATGTGTACAAAACGTGCAAAAACGGGCTGTTTCACTCCAAAGTATTCCAAATTAAAGGAGAAAGTGATGGAGTGGTTTTCTCAGCAGAGAGACCAAACGTTTCATTTGTAATGTGAAATGTGAAGAGTTTTGCCAAGTTGAGTGAGATTGTCTTTCAATGCATGGGAAGCAAAGTATCTGATTGGTGGTCAGAAATTCGTTGTTGTCATGACAATTCTAATCCAATTGTACTTGTTTTTGAATCCCAAACCCCGGCTATAAGCCAAATCCCATTTCTTGTAAAAAAATCCCCCATAGTTTTATGTCAAATACTGAAAAAATTGCTCAGCTTATAGGTGAAGAAACAAAGTACTCTTTTGCACACTTCCAACGTATGGTCGACAAAGATTGATTTGTTGTGATAATTAAATGAATACACGATAAAGGTGCTAAACTACCCAGAATTAGGTTTTTCACTGCACCAAAAGTTAACTTTAGGTTTTTAAAGAATTTTATTCAAGTCTGTACCATAGGTTGTAATATGTGTTACAAGTGTGGTGAAGCTCTAAGGTCTAGATAAATGCTATGATGTAGCTACCATTATTTAGCTTTGTTGGTAATGTTCAATTCTAGGAGTCAGAAAAAAATTCCACCTACCATGGCTGGTGATTGGTGTTATAGATTGCCAATCAAATTGAGTTGCAAGTTGAAAGTATGGTTCTTTAATTTCTTAAATTGATTTACAAATAAACTGAAAGAATTTGATAAGTTATATGTATTCTGATAGGGTGATTATTGATAGACAAGTGCAAGATAGTTGCAGTAAGAGTTTAAGGAAAGATTAAAAAGTATGGGGTTATGAATGAACAAGATCTTTTTCTAAAGTTTCCAGATAATAGATAAATAATAATAACTATTATTTATATAGAACATAAAACATGGGTACATGCTTATAATGTTATAATGAAATGGATAAAAAAATCACAGCTTATCTAAATAGTTAATAAATGGATACTAAATAACGATATTATATAAATGTGTGTGAGCATGCAAAAATCTATGTTAAAATACCATAGGTCATAAGGTAAAAGCCAATTTAACATGACGAGTTTTTAGCTGTGACAAAAGTTTTGAGACTGCCCAAAGCTCTCAACTCATCTGGAAGGGTGTTCCACAGGGTCGGCGTGGCAAATTTCCCTTTCGTAAATGGTCGTTGCCATTTGAAACGGTCGATGCCATTTCTCAGAATGGTCGTTGCCATTTGAAACGGTCGATGCCATTTCTAAAACTAGCCGAGCAGACGACAGCCCTCGTGAATAGCTCGTACGCTGTTGGCACGCTCGGACGTCACTTCCGGGCAGTGTTGTTTATAAGATGGCGGAGCAATCCACGTGCGCGAGAGTTCAGCCAGCTGAAACAGAACGAACCCATTCTTCTTGTGCAGAAAAAAAACAAAAATCAATTAAGTAGCCAACGGGGTGGAACTCCTTTATGCAGTCAGTTCAATCATTTTCAGCCTGGATAAAGTGC